GTCAATGAAATCTGCCAACCTTCTGCATTACCTCAATTACTGACACATCCTCCATAGGCCGTCCTGGCCGAGCATGCTTATTAAAGCACACTTTGTCAGAGATTAGCTAAAGTAGCTGTCAATCAATTAGGCACGAGAGCCCCTTTCGAGCTGCTGGGGGAGTCCAAGTGAAGAAAAGGCGCATGTTGACAGCTCCCATTGACATGAGCATGAATGATCCTCCGCTAATGGGGCCTCATGGAGATCCGGCAAGGCCGAGTGTCAAGATGAGCACTATGTGGGCCAGACGCTAGTGAGGAAGATGCTGCAATTAGGCATCCACTCTGGCTTGTGTGAAAATGCCAGTAACTAAGGAATTCTGGATAGTCAAAACCATTCCACATCCTATTAGAATTTGAGCTAAAGAATTTAAGAAGACAAAAAAGAATGGGCAAAAAATTATCATGAAGGAGATGATGACATTCAGAAAAATGCTGCAGGGACCCATCATTGCATCATCTTTTAATTTTAAAAAATAAAGACACTAAATAAATAAAGAATGGAGAGTTACCTAATGGAATCAATAAGTTATTTTTGGAGTTTTAAACTTTTCTACTTTAGGTTTGTACTGGAGCAACATACGAAGCTAACGTTACTAATTACTAAGTAAAAGAAATTAAAGCTACCAGTTAAGTACCATACAAGCTAAATTCATAAATCATCCAGTCCCCAGTTCGATCCTGAGCTTGGGTTACTGTCTGTGTGGAGTTTCTTATGTTCTTCCTGTTTCCTGGGTTTCCTCTGGGTTCTCCGATTTCCTCCCACCTCCCAAAAACATGCCAGTAGGTGGATTTGCTAAGATAAATTACCAGTAGATGTGAATTAGTGTGTGAATGTGTGTGTGTGTGTGCATAGTGCCCCGAGATGGACTGGCGTCCCATCCAGGGTGTATTCCCACCTCATGCCTAATGTTCCCGGGGAACAGGCTCCGGATCCACCATGACCCTGAGCAGGATAAAGTGCTTACTGAAAGTGAGTGAGTAAGAATATTACATAGCTGAAAATAGTAGCAGCAGTGGTCTTGAAGCTGGAATGATTTTTCCTCTTCAGTGTAGATTTTGGCATCACTCCACACATTCATCAGACTCAGATACAAGGTGTTACTTTGAGTTTGAAAACATAATTTTGGCTATGGTTTCTCAAACATTTTGAAGTCAGGGACCTTTTTAACTGTAAAATATATTCCTCGGACCTCCTCAGTAAAGATCTATTTTATGATTTCTATATTAGATCTGTACATCTATATTATTTCCATTCAGATATGAAGCTTTTTACAGAAATGTGAGCAATAAAATTTGTCTATTTATTGGAACCATAGAGCATTTTGTTCCTCAACTTTCCACGTACAGAACACATCATGTGCAAGGTGACATTAGTTATAGACTACTTGTTTTTGAGTTATTGAGGTTAAACCCATTCAATTAAAAGGGACAGTCAAACAGGCCAGTAACTATAAGAACTTAATATTAAATATGACTTTAATAATAGGTCTTTGATAACAAAAAAAGGTCTTTGATTAAAAAAAAACAAACAAACAAAAAAAAGCTTCATGGATACCACTTTGGGAACCACTGACTTAGACAAATAATGCTTCTGACAAATGTGTGAAAATTAAGACATGGAGTTTGCATGATGCTATAATAGTAGTAGTAGCTATAAGATCTCCTTACCTTTTAGCAACATTAGCGTACTCTTTCCAGTGCAAAAATAAAGAGATCTAGACTTATTATATATGGAGTATGATAAAAGATGGCAATAAAGAAAAAATCTAAATGTGAAGATGATGATGTGTAGTGCCTTAAGAATCACTTAGCTCTGAATACACACTACTAAAACATTTGTTTTAGCGATGCACAAGAACAACCTTCTCGCATTTGACAATTACCCACAAATCCAAAGGGAGCCCTTTGCCATGCTAGTCCTGTTCCCTCCTTTCTTCTGTTCTGTATGAAACAAACAACATCAACCCCCACCTCCACCCCACCCCCTCCTCCCTTTCCTCCTTGTACCCCACCTGGCACTGAACGGCCCCCAGCACTTGGCGCGTGCCAGCGCGGGAAATCTCAGGTGACAGTCACCTGGAAAGCTCTCAGGCCCACGGCAGCTGGAGGGGCTCTGATTGCTTCCCGTCCCCTCACACACACATGCACACACATCCACACACAAGCACACACATCCCCAGCAGCCTCTGCAGCCCCAGCACATCAATCGCCTGTCAATCCCACTCAACCTTAACCAGGACTCAGTCAAGCGCACAGAGAGAGAGAGAGAGACAGAGAGAGAGAGAGAGAGAGAGAGAGAAGGGAAGATGAGCACTGGGGAAGGCGTAGACAGAGGGAAAGATGGAGCGCAGGGAGCCACACGAAGGAGAGATGAAGGGAATGGGGGATGGAGTGGAGAGGCCTGTGGTCGCTTGCCAATGGTTCAAATTAATTGCTACATAAGGAAAAATGGGGAGATAATTATTTGTGCTTTCCTGTCAGTGCTGGAGGGGAGATGACCTCATTAACTTCGGCTTGTACACAATTCAATTACTGAGATATGGAAAATACATTTTTGATTACTTCGGTGACTGGGGCTCCATTCATCTCCATTTCTCTCCTCTGAGTGTGTGTGTGTGTATTTGTGTTTGGTCCGGGACACACAAGCTGTTGATATGTGTGTGTATGTGTGCGTGTGTGTGTGTTAGTGGAGCTTAAGTGGCTTACTGCTACCTTAGTTAATTAAAAGAAAACTCCACCTTGAAACATATTAAATCTATTTATATTGAAATATTTCTGAAGTGTTTAGTGATTCTGGTGCTAATTTGTTGGTTAGTGTTGTAGTTACATTATTCCTGTGAGAAGTTAGCAGCTGACTGTTCCACTGATGTCACAGGGTAACATTGTTATTGCTAGTGCAGTCATAATAGTGTTTAATGGGGGAAAGTTTTCAATGATCTTAATAAAACAGGTTGGGATAATGGTCAGATTTCAGTGTTAGCTCCTAAAAACGAAAGAGCAGCAGCTTCTACACTCACCATTTTCCAGGGATCAGGAAGCACAGCAGATCACCTGGCTGCATATTTCGATTCTGGCACAAGTTTTACACTAGATGCCCTTTCTGATGCAACCCACTCCATTTTCCAGGCTTCCAGGCACTGGCTCATGTAAACCTCCAGTGGGTAACCGGGAATCCTGACTGGGAATCGAACCCGGACCGCAGCTCTGAGAGTGCCACATGCTAGCCACTAGGAGGATGGTTAGGATCATATTAATAAGAAATCCAGTGTAGAAGTAGCGAAGACAGCAAAAGTTGGACTCAAAATCCCAGCAGAGACTTTTTACTATATTAGCGAATTTTGGGAAGTGAGGCTTTCGAGGGCAAAATGTCAATGTACACTAAAGAAAAAAGGAGAGATGGCACTGATCTGATAGCACACCCAAGATCAGTATCGGGCCGGGCAGTATCTGAAAAAAAAAACAACAAAAAAAAAACCCCCAAAAAACAAAAACCTTTATTTAATGAACATTCCTATACACTGTAATAGCACATATTAGTCCACAAACAAAATCTCTCAAAAGTGGAATCTGAATTTTGTCTTTTGTTTTTTAAATTTAAATTATCAGTCTGTTCGTCACCAACAATGTCTCCATGCTTTTCCACGTGAACCTGAACAAGCCTCAATATTTCATTGTCTCATTAATATAGAATAATAGTTAGCATAGTCCAAACATGAAGAATATTACACAGTACCATCATTACAAGTTGATTTGTAAGCCACATTCCCTCTCTGCACAGTGATGACATCGGCAGTGTAGCAGAACGTAGGCAAGAGCAGCGAAGTCAACTCTCATCATGATCATTGGGAAACAGCTGGATGTCTCTCAGTCTAACATGATAAAGAACCGCCCACCCTCATTTCTTTTTCCATCAGAGCAGCTGTGCTGGAGACTGAGCATTTTTGCTTGATTGCATACATTGAATGTGTTGAAGTTACATTTATTTAGTAAATATTAGGAGCATACAGTAGGACTTTTTATTCACATTTATGAAATATAGGACGAAAGAGACATGATTTAGTGAGGAATGAAATGATGAGAAATAGAGATACTCTATTTTATTAATTAATTAAATTTAATTTGTTTATTATTAATTTAATATAGAAAAAATATAGACAATTTGCACGCAATATCCATGCAAACTGCTGCCTGGACAATGATTAATACTAATATATATATTAAATGCATATAATAAATATATATAATGCATTTCAGGCCTGATGGCACAATGGCCTGGGAGAACCCTTTCCATGTTGAAATCTGGACATTTTCTACTAAATAAAGTTCCAAAAACGTTCCTGAATTGAAATGTTTTTGCTTCTATCTACCCAAGTAAAGTGCTAGCATTTTAAAGTCTGGTTAACCCCAAAAGTGAAAAGGGCACAGGAGCATCACAGACATTTTCACAGTTGGTAACAAGACAGTTGGGTTATCTGAGACTGCCACATAAGTAAAGGTGCCAATTTCACCATATATACCACCTCACTATTTTCCTTCTCTTTTCAACACTGCTCTCTCTTTGTCTGTCTATACTAATACACTGTACTACGTATTCTGCTCATCCTGAAATCAAGGAAATAGAAAATATCTATTGAATTACTGTATGCAGTAATTCAACAGCCTTCACTAGACTGTTCTTTCTGCACTAACCTTTTGAATTACTCACACAAGAAGCACTGTGTAAAGATGTAGGGGTATCAGGGGAGATGCCGAGACCTCAATCTGCTGTGATTATTCCTTTGGGCTGGACTCAGATGGGCCATTTCTCCCAACATCAACAAGGGAAAAGTAAAGTAGAACACCTTCAGATGCAGAAGTGCACATGGACGCACACATGCTCTGCATCACACTTCCACATTCAGGACAGAACGAATGAAAGAAACAAGAAGTAAATAAAGGTTTAGGAGTAACTCTCTTCATGGAGTTGTAGCTCAGTGGTTAAGGCTCTGAGCTAGTAATCAGAAGGTTGTGAGTTCATATCTGAGCAGATCAAGTGATATTTGTGGGATTTGAACTGCACACTAGACCAGTGCCTTAAAGAAATGATTCCATCAATTATAATAATATTTGCACAATTTTCCTGTAATGTAGTAAATATGCCATGCCATGTTTAGTAACCAGTATTTACATCTTTAGTTTAGCTTTAAAAGCCTACTGAAGTTTACATATAATGGATGCTCATAAGTAAATGCTCAAATCATCATATACTTGCTTCAAATGACAATGGTTGGCTAATTAATCAAATTTTTAATTATAGCACAGTGGTGTTAAATTCCTGAATCTGCTTTATTGGAGGTTGTTAATTAATTTTCTTTAACAGCAGCTCTGACAGTAATTCTGGCTGCAAGGTAAATCCCAGGTTTATATTATTGCGCTCACACTAATACGTTATCGTTTCTATAGTAACAACTTACACAGGTAGTTGCAGACATGCCACATAATGTAATGGTAAAAATAAACAGATTCAAAAATGTGTTGTTATTAAACAAAGAAAAAAATTTAATCAGTGATATGATGAAATTTTCTGTAAGGAGATGTTGATGTATCATTCATGGAAGGAGTCTCCAGTGTCAGTGCTTTGTTAACGGTCAGTAAGTTTTCCGCCATGGGAACATCCTCAGGACAGATGAGTTTCCGGTTTCTCCGTAACATGACAAGCTGCATTATTTTTTCTTATAAACTTCAAGACATGAAACAGCAAAAGGCTAGTGAGGGAACGAATGTTTATAGCTGCTTTAACATAAGTGATTACAGGCACAAGTTTGCTTGGTGAGGTTTCACAACATTAAATGGAACTATAAATGGATAAAAAGTATGATGTGTTGCACTTTAGTAAATAAAACATGTAATTGTTGGCATATCATTGTGGTATAAGAGAAATAAAACACTTCATGATGTCCTGTTATTTAAAAAATGATCAACTTTGTGGTGTTAATAGTAACTCCATTTTACATCAGGCTGCATCACACCACCCTGTCGTTGATTATTTTCCTATAATAACATACCCTCAAATGTTTTATTCTTTACTTTGTAAAATTGATTTTCCAGTTAATGACTTGCTGTCATATAGATATCTGTGAAGCGTGAACTTCAAGAAATGATCCACTGTGTTCATGTTGAAAGGACAGCATTATTAAAAATTGAGTGGCAAGTGATAGAGTGTAGGCCTGTGGGAGCAGCTGTAATGAGGGATTACACTGGCATTACAAAACACACAGAGAGAAAGAGGTACAGCAAGAGAAAAAAAAAAGAAAAAGAGAGAAATGGAGAGAGGAGTTCTGGAATAAAAGAAGACTGTAATAGGATTACATCTGTTAACATCATGTGTGATAAGAGTAAGAGGTTTACAGGGGGGAGCTGAGCTCGAGAGGACATCCCCCTTCTCCCTCCCATATTCCCTTGTTCCCTCAGCTCCATCCTTGCCAGTGGGAACCAGACATACACACACACATACACACACACACACACACACACAGAGTGGGGGTGAGAAAGGAAGGGATGGAGCCTTAAGGCAGTGACCTCATTTATGACAAAAACCCCATCTTGGAGAGAGAGAGAGAGAGAGAGAGAGAGAGTCTCAGGAGAGTAGTCACATCTCAGGGCTCATTTGCATGCAGCCTTAATGAAAATGTTTGGCTTGTGCTCTTAATTAAAGAGCACTTCCATTGCCATTTGGAGAGAAAGATACACACACACACACACACAAAAGAGCACTCCCAAATCACTCCTCACTGGGGTTCAAATCTGATTGCTAAGTGCCTCGGGTAATTGTTTATCCTGTTATCCATGTGCATTTACTGCTATAAAAACAGAAAGACAAGCATTTTCTTTTAGTTAATATTAAATGGCCCTGTAATTTTTATATGAACTTTATATGACCTATATTTCCATTTGGGAATGAATAAACTGGCAGTGAAAAAACAAAAAAAAAAAAAACATCGTCTAGAACCAGAGCAGACTTTCAGTTTCTGAAAAACTGAAACTCAGATTTATTTTTAGACATAAAAAGTAATCTTTAATTAGTGTCTTAAAGTTTTAAAGGCTGGAGGCTGTGAACATTTTTCAACCCAGTTATTATATCTTGCACTAAAGCTATACTTAAAAGTTCAAATCATTGTTTTCATGCTGTAAAGTGTATCCACGGAAGTGTGTGAGAAGCCCGTAAGATTCTGATGCTAATATATATTGTACTAATGTTACTAATTTTAGACAATATTCTCAAACAAAGCCAGATAGCCAACATGAGAGAAAATTCTCAGATAAAAGCAAAGTACATGCTGAGAATATCCCAAAACAAGTCTAGCTAGTTAATTTTAAGTGTCCCACAACAGAAACTAGCTGGCTAAACAGGGAAAATCAACATGATCTGTTCATGCAAATTGCTATTTAGGAGAGTCAATGTTTAATTATTTACAAATGTCCCACAACAAAGCTAGTTAGTTAAATATAGAAAATGTTCCATAACAAAGCTAGCTAGCCAATGTTAAAATGTTCCACAACAAAGGGAGTTAGATGAATATAGAAAATATTCCATCTGAAAATACTTCTCCTCAAAGCTAGCTAACTAACACTAGAAAATGTTCCACAAAGCTAGCTAGCTGGCATTAGAAAATATTTTACAACAAAGATAGCTAGATAATGTTTTAAAACATGCCCCACAACAAAGCTAGTTAGCTATTTTTAAGAATGTTCCACAAAAAAGCTAGCTAGACGACACTGGAAAGTGTGCCACAACAAAGCTAGTTATCTAAATATAGAAAATGTTCCATAACAAATCCAGTTAGCTATTTTACAAAGTTACCTAACTATTCAACAAAGTTACCTAGCTATGTTCCGAAATAAAGCTAATGTTATAAAATGTTCCACAACAAAGATAGTTAGCTAATGTTTTAAAGCATGTCCCATAACAAAGCTAGTAAGAAAATGTTTTGCAACAAATATAGCTATTATTAAAATGTTCCACAGAGCTAACTCGCTGATGCTGGAAGATGTCCCACAACAACACTAGTTAGCTAAATTTAGAAAATGTACCTTCAGAATATGTGCCACAACAAAGCTAGCTAGCTAAATAAAGAATGTGTTGTACAATAAAGCTAGATAACTAAAGTTAGACAATGTTCCACAGCAAAGACAGCTAATTAATGTTTTAAAAAATATCCTACAAAGGATAGTTAATGCTAGAACTATTATCAAACGATCCATTTATGGATCTAGTGAGTTAAATATAATTCATTGAGAAAACAGCTTTATGCCGTAAATAGTAAGGGTGTACAGTGCGATGTATGTGTCCACAACAAACTAGAGCTGTGTCTAAAATTGCATTCTAGAAAGTTTTTGAGTATTAACACTTTCTCTATTATAGTGTTTGGAAAAAAACCCTCATGTAGCCGTCAAACCTACTGAAAAGTCAGTCTTGAGTAAAAACCTTCTGGATTGTATAGGTTAGTAAATACTTTTAAATGTAAAGTCGTAGTTTTCAATTTGAAGTGCAGCTCATGACAACAATCACGATGACAGCGAAAAGCTTTAAAGAGTGTGTTTAATATTAATATGTTGCTACACAAAGACAAAATTTGGCATGAAATCACTGAACATGTTACAGGTTGACATGGGAACCTGATGAATAGGGAAGTTTCAGCTCGGACCTGCTCTCTTGAGTATGTTAACAATGCTGTTTGTGTTGCACTTGCACCTGCATACGCATAAAGTATGAACCAGGCTTTAGAAATACTGTCATTCTTCTGGATATCAACATGCAGTGTGTATTAGAACTACAAACTAAAATTAAATTATATAATTCTCCAAAAACACTCACCGCAAAAAAATTATAATATACGCAATTTATACGCAATTCAATGATTCATTCTATTATTACATTTCCAAAAAGAAGCCATCATACAAAATCCTGGATACTTGCAGTCTACATATGACTTACATTTCATGGTGAATATTCAACAGTAATTCATATGCTCGAACAAGAAAAAGGGAAAAAAGATCAGGAAAGGAGGGAATACAAATGCCATCTTAAAAAAGCATTAATATAATAACAGAGTGTGGATATTTTAATATTTTTAATATTTTTTATGTTTTAATATTTCACATGGCTAATCTCTGTGAAGTAAAATTCACAGCATCTCATTGCTGGCCATCGTTCTCTACAGAGAGACATGGCGCAAATGCAAATCAGAAAGATTAAGGTTAATGTATTATCTGCTGTATTATATCAGATTTATGCTTTAATAACCACTACATTTCTATTAGCGTTATTAATGTCTAACATATGGGACAAAGTCACAACATGTCACATGACTAATTTATTGGATGGGGCGTTAGGGCAGCTGAGATGAAGAGACATGGTATAAATGTGCATATGGATGTTATAATGATAGAATAAGTCTGATGAGGAGAGTTCATAACTCTAGCGGGGGGTATGTTTTTACATCTTGGTGAGGACCAAATGTCCCCAGAAGGATAGAAATATCTGACAATTTTGCAGCTTTTTTATTTAAAAAGAAAAGAGCCAAAAGGTTTCCATTTGGATACTGAGGATAAGGTTAGGATTGGATGTAGGCAAAGTGTTAATTAGCTGCATGAGCTGCATTTATGATGAGGTAATGTATCCTCTAGATATGACGGACAGGATGTCATCACCATGGAAACGTCATCCAAAGCTGTATTCGCCGCATGGCTCTAAACCAAATCAGTCACGTTTAATGACTGTAGCACAGAAAAACCTCCTGACAGATGTAGGTTAATCTGCACAAGGTGTGCTGGTTCTTACTTACATGCTAAGTATGGAATAAAACATGATGAGGTGCGCTATTATAGGAAAATAATAAACAACCGGGGGGTGGGGGGCTGTGCTCATAGCAATTTGCCAACACTAGCAATTTTTATACAGTCAGGTCCATAAATATTGGGACAGTGACACAGTTTTGGTAATTTTGCCTCTGTACACCACCACAGTGGATTTGAAATGAAGCAGTCAAGATG